CCACGGCCCCCCCCCCCCCCCCCGCAACTGTTGTCCAAAACAAATAGTCCCATGAAATTGCAGTTTACCCAACAATGCTTTTGTTTACTGCAACACCATTTCCCGAGTTTCAGTTTGCGGCTGGCCAAATCGGAAATAATTATTGCCCTACCTCTATTCCAGGTGAAGTCTTTTCCCTCGTATAATGCATGATAATAACAGAATTCATTCATCAAAGGCTCCTGCTGTTATTCCCTGGAAAGAGTTATATTTAACTTGGATAGGTCACAGCATTTTCCAGCAGGCTCTGCTGAGAATATGAGCCTGAAGAATTATGACTTTTCTGACCCAGGTGTGGGCATTATTCATGCTTAAGATCTGATCGCTAGTGCTTCCAGAACGCGGGTAAGAGCTGCCGCTGACAACTTAAAAATGTCAGGACTTTTCTCAAAAAGTCTTTGGCCTAGTTTGGGAAACTTGAAGAGGACATTTTAGTGGCACGTCATTGGTTCTTGTACTATCAGCGTTTGTGGATGTGACAATGTGTGGGGTTATTCTGGTTTTCATCCTGCTGTTTTTTCTCTGCTGCATTTGGAATGACATTTAAGTGGATTTCATGTCACTAAGCACACTGTTAAAATTAGTTTTTTGAAGTTGTGTATAAAAATATATATCAGTCTTTCTACTTTCTACTTTCATGTTAAATTCGATGTATATTTGCCATTCTTTGTAATTATGTGTGCAATTAACTAGTAATTGCTGAGTGAAATGTCTACATGTTTTAGAAATAGAATGAATAAAGTTGGGGGAAATCAAAATTTTTATATACATATATATAATATACATGTATATACATGTGGGTGTACATGTATGGGCCTCTTCGATTTATATTTCACTTTGGCTGAAAGTTCATGGTAGCAAAATGTGTCTTAAGATATTAGGCTGAAACTTTTTTTTTTAACAAATTAAAAGGTTCTTCTGCACACAGTTTCATAAAATTATTTGTGTATTGCAGTTGAAATGCGTTTAGAGTCAAGCCCTCAGTAATGCAGGCTAATCTTTGCATTCTCTTGTTGTCTTTTCCAGCTGGAACAACATATATATTTGGGAAAGGAGGAGGCCTCATAACCTTTAACTGGCCGGCCAACGAGCGCCCGAGCACCCGTACGGACAGGCTGACAGTGGGCTTTAGCACCTCACTCAAGGATGGCATCCTGATCCGCATCGACAGCGCCCCCGGCCTGGGAGACTACCTCATGCTCCACATTGTAAGTCAGAGTTTCTTCTAACTTGATCGGCCACATCTACAAATGTCAATCCTAAAGGTAAAAAAAAAAAGCCAGAGCACACAGTAGAGTTTTTGGTGTTTCTGATGCCCAGTATTTGGGGTGACCAGTAATTAGCTGTGAGGCTGCTGACTTCAGCATTTGATATATTTATAATTATTTAATCATTATTCAGCATGCATGCATGCATGCATTACATTGACAAAACGTTTACAGTTACACAAAAATGTACACAAATAAATGTGGTTCTTATGAACTTTCTATTCATGAAAGAATCCTGGAAAAAAAGATCACCGTTTACACAAAAAATATTAAGCAGCACAACTGTGTTCAGCATTGATGATAAAAATAAATATTTCTTAAGCAGCAAATTAGCATATTAGAATGATTTTCTAAAGAATTATGTGACACTGAAGACTGCAGTAATAACTGCTGAACAATTCATCTATGTCATCAGAGAGATAAATTATCTTTTAAAATGTAATAGAATTTCACAATATTATTGTTTAAATGTATTTTTAGCTGCAGCATTGGTGTGTATAAAATACTTATTTTAACAGCCTTAATTAATCAACCAAAGGCATTGGCTTGAATACATTACAAATAAAATTCATAGAAAAGGGAAAAAAGTGCATTCATTTTTTTCATACAGACATGGGTTATTAAGTGGTAGGAGTAGCTATGCAGCATCTCAAAAATAGACAATCTCAGTGCGACACAACATATGCTTCCAGTGTATGCGTCAGTGCTGCATTGATTATAATGGGAGAGATTTAGGGTGTCGACAGGGTGTTAGCGTTCTCTGCATTTCATAGAACGCAACACCTCTGTGAGTGGATACCTTGTGGGTGGTTTCTTTTTCTTTCTGTTGCACATCCTTGTAAATAATCAATCCAAGAATAATTATGTTTCACTTCTATATTAATCTTTGTATTGTGTCAGTGACAATATGAAGTTTGTCACTCCACAGCTGCATTATAAAAATTAAAATAAAAATCCTCAGATCAGCCATATCAACTGTGGATTTCTTCAGAAGTGGTGGGTTTTATTTTGCTGAGCTGCACAAAGTTCTTTTCAAATTATTCAAAAACAATATGTATGCCACACGGAAGTCCAGCAGCTTTTTTTCCTGCAGTTTGTCCATGGTGAGAGCTTCTATTTGGCTGGATGTGTCCATAATGTAAATAATTCAGCACTCATGTAATGGATGCTGGTTTGGTAATTAACCTGCTTTTCTGAAAGACAAAAGGATTCATTTTCAGACAGTGTTTGTCATTAAGGGGTCTTTAGCTCATAAATGAACAATGAGGTCATTAGAGTGTTTCCTCTTTTTATTAATGCTCCACAAACAATATATATCGAAAAATGTAGACACCTAAGCACACACTCATATGTGTATTTTTATTTTTTTTGTAGTTCAAAATGTTTTGCGTATACTTTTGGCCATATTCATTTCACTGAAAAATTATAATTAATTGTTGCATTTTATTATTCCCTAATTTTATAAACATTTCAACACACTTGTGACAATGTGTAATATTACAGTAAAAATTATGTGTAAGATCATTTGAATTAATAGACAAGAATATGTGTGATAGATAAATGTGACTAAAAACTTTTACACTGTTACAATTTTTTTTTTTTAACACCGCTCTTGCGAACTTTCTGGAAAAGTAGTAAATTATTGATGCTTTTTAAAAATTTCCTGATTTACTAAACACAGTTCAACACATCCGAAAGTTTCTAACTGTACAGTATAGATTACTGCAACATATTGAAACTGATAGTAAACAAACAAAAAAAGTCGTATCTTATTACATTTGCACATAAACAAGTGACCTTGTAGTTTAATGGGGGACTGGATGTCTTTTTTTGTCAGAATGTGAATGGGGAATATTTCTCTGGCTATCTCCATCTGTCCACTAGTTTTATTGTGGCCTATGTTGGTGGTCCACTGGGACTCTTGGGGCTCTGTAATGGGCAATATAACTAAGGGCATTTCACCAAACCCTCACCCCCTGCCTTTACCCTTTATGACATACATGGACACACACACATACATACTCGCCCCATTATAGCAGTGTAGCGCTGATGGAAATAAGCCTCTTCTGCCAAATGAACTAAATCTAGAGCACAACTCTAGAGTCAAGGGAATTAAGCTGCCGTATTTTATAGGCAGTTTCGAAACTTATGTAACTAGTTATTGGGAGTTGCCTTTGATTAGCATGTACTGGTGTGGAATTAATCTTTGCATTTGGAACACTATACAGGGCACATTACGTCTTTGGTCTCTTTTTAGATTTGAGCACTAAACGTTTAGTCCTTGGAACGTAAATCCGCTTTTATAATGATTTTAAACCTTTATAATGTTTGCCTTCAACTTTGGGAAGAGTAGTAGGTGACGATGGATCAAAATGTCGCTGTTTCATTTTGGGCTGATTATGGAAGTCTCCCTCCACTCATTTCTTCAGCGCTGATAATGAGTGAGCTATTTTCAGCTGTAAACGCTTGTCTCTCTTACACTTCTGAACTGAGCAGCGGGTGACACCATGGAATACCTTGTTAGATAGTTTCCGGCAACAAGGGAAATGTCAGTGCTGTTGCCCTTCAAACATGCCACCTCTGAAATGACAACCTCTGTGATGGAGTCTGCTAACCAATCACTTTATCTTGAGCCTTAACAAACCATATAATCTAACGGGGTCAAATTAATATCCCAATTTAGACTAAAATGCTACCTCATGACTATACCATTATTAATCCCCTTGGGCTAAGTATGGGAACTTTGTATTGTGAGTTTTAAAGGGATAGTTCACGTGAAAAATGAAAATTGTTGTCATGTTGTTCCAAACCTGCGTGACTCTCTTTCTATACTTGGAGCACAAAAGAAGATATTTTGAAGAGTTTTTTTCAGTCTGTTTTTGTATATACAATGAAAGCCAGTGAAGTCCAAAACAACAACACCCCCATTGACTTTTATTGTATGGTTATTGTATGTAAAAAAAGAAAGAAAGTCATACAGGTTTGGAAGTACATGATGTCAGGTTTTTTATTTTTGGGTGAACTGTCCTTTTAACTCTTGATTGGTACATCTTGCATCTCCACATATCAAAGCAGGGAACATCTGTCCACTGTAAATTTTGGCATTTCTCACTTTTAAAGTCATCTGATGTGTCTTCAGTCAGAAGAAGTGAAGATATAGACATGCCATCTGCTTCTCTCCATGTATTCTGTCCATGTGACACATTCATCCAAATAGCACAACAGGTCTTGTCACACCCTCACTTCATAGCCCTTGTTATCTCAAAGTCAAACAAAGAACATCATTTTAAACTTATTTTACTTCTGTAGTGTGACACTTTTCAGTGAAACAGGTAAAGGTGGGTGGGGCTTGATTTTATCCATCAGAAAGTGATAGGATTGTGAAAAGTGGTTGTTTCAAAAGCAGAACAGAGCAAGAAGAATTACAGTTTGTGGTTTGCAGTGATGTCAGTTACATATTATTACATATAGTTACATATATTATGTCAGTTACATGTTAAAAATGACATAATTATCATACTTTTCTGTCTTCATCGAAATAACTTGAAATTATTTCATCAGTTTCCTATCATACATGCATGCATCACATCATCAAAATTTCATAGCATACATACATCATCAAACCATGTTTCCAAACCTTTGACTAGTACTGGTCTCATTCCCTCAGTAGGGAAGAGTGTAAAATCTGCCAAAATCTGTGGACAGAAGTGTGAAAACGTTTTGTGTGAGATTTGCTGATGCTGTTTGCGGCGATCTTAGCTATATAAAGTCTGCAAAAAGTTGCAAGCAAATTAAAATTTCTCACATAAAAACACATTTGTTATAGTTATAATTACTTATATTGAATTTCAGTTTTTTTATTAAATATAAAGTGAACAAATGAGCATTACTGAAACATTCAAACATTTGTGTATAATCAAGTAAAATTGGAACATTTGAACAGCTGCCTTTTCATGGTAGAAAACCAATGAATCCAATACGAGTCATTTTGACACCCTGTTTGCATTCCTATAGGGTCATGCATTGTAGAATTATTATTTTGACAAAAAATAAAACCATTCATGACATACACACACACACACACACAGACTTAGCCTTTTTACAGCCATTGTTTCCCTACTACCAGTAAACCATTCATGTCAGCATGTTTGCCATCTGTTGACCATGGCAGTCTCACATGGGAGAACGATACACTTTTGTAAGTCGCTCTGGATAAGAGCCTCTGCTAAATGTCTTTAATTTAGACGTCTTCTGCTGGAGAGAGAGGAAGAGGCGAGGAGAGACCCTCGTGAAGATGTCCCTGTTGTTCCGGTTGATTGTAACACTCATCACACATTCATTTGAAATTGCCATTCTGTTCCTCTGTCTTCCTTAAGAGTTAAACACTTAAAGAAAGTTTCGAATAACTAAAGTTAAATGCATTTGGAATTCGCTCCTTCCCTAATACGAACAGCAGCGTCTGCATAGCATTACGTATTTTTTGTAAGACCATTGGATACTCATTAAGAGCAAATAGCTTCCCTCCACCAGCTGCACAGCTGGAAGTAAGTGTGTAATTAGGGTAAAAAACGAAGCGTTTCTACAAATTGCTTGTGCCCCCGTGTTGTATTACCGCTACACGAGTGGACGAGATGTTTCAATTTGCTTTAAAGGTCTTTTTCACCGCCTACAAAGCAAAACACGCTCGCTATTGCCGTTTTAAATAATGTTAACCAATGTCTTTTGGGTTTAGAAACTTGCACTTTGGCCAAATAGACGGGGGCCTTAAAATGACACGGTCCAATGATGGGCCAGTCATTTTAACTGAATTACGTCGCTGGGCCCTTTCCACATATCGACAGAAGAGGGAAAGGATAAATGGCTCCGACACAGCAGTCTTTGCCACCAAAGCTGTTGACTGAAATCCTATAAGAGAGAATGATTTAAGTGTACAGAAAATC